GTGTGTGTGTGTGTGGGGTGTGTGTGTGTGTGTGGGGTGCGTGTGTGTGTGTGCGCTTGTGTGTGTGTGTGTGTGTGTGCGTGCATGTGTGTGTGTGTGTGTGCGCATGTGTGTGAGTGTGTGTGTGTGCGCCCGTGCTTGATGGAATTTGGACATTTGCTGGCAAGGCTAGACTTCACTGTTTATCTCTAATTGCCCTTTAGCCAAATATTCTCATCGATTTGATTAGTACTTCGCAATAGACTTTTGGAATGCCTCAATATGTAAACTCAGCTCATCCAATTGCAAGATCCCTGAATGTTAATTTTAATGTTACCATTAAATGTCTGCTGTGACTCCATTTGGACTTTATGCTGTTCTCTCTCTTGAATTCAAATGGATTACTCAATTTGAGTCAAATAAACTGAAATATATATTAAAAGTGTGGCAAGCAGATTAAAAAAAACTGTTGATCATCTATATATGTTTTATATATATATACACACATTAACTCTACAATATAATTACGTGGGAATTGAATGTGACAGGGGAGTGTTTATTTTATATTGCTGGTTGCTCTGAGAAGGAACTAATAAGTCACCTTCTTCAACCAATGCAGTTTTTATGATAAAAGATTTGTATGGGACATGACTATAGCGATTATAGCATAATAATTTTGTTCAATTTAGGTGACTGTTGTACTTCCAAATCTATATGTACTGGCATATAAGCCTTTTTTTTCTGTATTTTGTATCCTGGTATGATTCAGTTGGTCAAGTGGATCTAGTGATAGTTTGAGGGAGATGTGTTGTATGATGAATCTTCACTGTTGTTGTCTGAGCTGGTTGGTTTCTTGGTCAGCATGAGGTAAATTTGCTGCCACCAAACCTCATTTAGGTCAGGATCTACAATGCCTAATCAGATTAATGTGGCAGAAGAAAAACACTGGTAGTCTAATGTGAAGAGGCTTTTGTCTAAAGCATGATATAATTTATTGCTTGATAGCAATCAGGTACTAGTTACATAAGTATTATGGATATCATTACTGAGATTGTGAAGAGATCTAGATGTAGTTCTTCGTTTTATTATACATTTAGGTCTATCTCATTTGAGATCCAGAGTTATGCTCCCCACTTAATTCCTTATGATGGTATCATATTGGGTCGAAGTTAATGCACTCTCAACATTAACCCTTTAAAAGGCAAACATGTTTTGCAACAGTATGCATTACCATTAATGTATTTGATTCAGAACTTGAAAAGATAGAGTTATTAGTTTCTTCCAATTTTTAACAATAGCCAAAAATATAATTGATTGCTGAATAGAAGTTCGTATTGAATAATCTTTCAATATGTTTAAATGTTCTATGTCATTTCCTTGCAGGAAGGAGGGGTCGCAGTACTTTTCAAGCTGTGCAGACAGGACGCTCCTAGTTACTTGCATGTCCACGCCCTCAAAGCACTGACATCAATATGTAGTGTAGAGGAAGGCATCAATGAACTTGAGAAGGTATGGCGATATGTATTAAATAGAAAGTACAATGTACATTTTTTATGCATTTAAGTTGATGCTGATGAGCAATGTATTTCCAAACATTCTAAAGAATGCATTAGGTGTACAAGTGTGAATTAACCAATTTCATTTCTGCTGACATCTGAAAGTTGTTGGAAGTACTGATGAAAATAATTGTATATGAAGTGGTCAGGCAGGTAAATGAAAGGTAGGTAATGAGTCAGGCAGGTAAATAAAAAAAAGGTAAATGAGTAAGGGAGCATTTGCAAAAACATTTGTACAAGTGATTGGTCTCTCTATGATTTCAAGCTAAGACTCATTTTCGTCTTGGTGTGAATGTTGGTCTCTTGAGGATGCATTACAAACCACCCTGCACCTGCTGTTAAAAATACCTATATTGATCAAACATATAGCATCTGATAAAATACTAATATAAAGAGTATTGTTTGTTTATTCATTCATAGGATGAGGGTATTGCTGGCTAGATATGCATTTATTGCCCATCCCTAATGATCCAGAAGTCAGTTAAAAGTCAACCACATTGCTGTGGATCTGAAGTCACATGTAGGCCACACCAGGTAAGGATAGCAGTTTCCTTCCCTAAAGGGCATTAATGAGCCAGTTGGGTTTTTCCTGACAATCAGCAATAGATTCATGATCAGCATTAGACTCTTATTTCCAGATATTTTTTATTAATTTCAAATTCCACTATTTGCTGTGGTAGGATTCAAAACGAGGTCTCCAGAACATTATCTGGGTCTCTGGAATTAACAATTGAGCAATAATACCACTAGGCCATCACCTCCTGCTAGAAATCAGGGCTTGTCTGGAATTTGAGCCAGGACCTCTTGCATATCTACCATGTACAAGCCCCTAAGTGTAAATCTTACCCCTAGACCAATGTGCCATTACCACAATTTCATCAGGATATCAGCACATATCTTTTTCTGGCCTTGTTCAATCCACTAAACTGTTTTGATGAATGTAGATTCTATATTCCATCAATTATTCGGATTCAGAATCTGAATATTTCATTCTGCAGGCTGTATCTAAATTCCTATTTAAATTTCAATAATGTAACAGAAATAGAATTTTGAATATTTAACGTCATCAGTTCTTCAATGCTGTATCATTAATACATATAATTGTATTTTGCAAGTGTCAGCAATCAGGCCACTTCTTTAATACACATACACTAATGATTTAGATTCGGGTTTTGATTTAGATTCAGACACTTGAGGAACAGAGTGTTTGAAGTCCAACATTTCAAACCCAGGAGCAAGCTCATGGTCTAGAGAGCAGCTGTGGCTCTTATCCTTCTGTATGCATCAGAAACATGGACCATATATAACAGACACCTCAAATCCCTGGAGAGCTATTACTGGCACTTCCTTTGCAAAATCCTGCAATCCCGCTGGCAAGATAGGCATGCCAATGTCAGCATCCCTTCCCAGGCCAATATCCCCAGCATTGAGGCACTGGTCACGTATGACCAACTGCAATGAGTGGGTCACATTGTCCACTGCCTGACACAGGACTCCCTAAACAAGTGTTTGATTCTGAGCTCTGCAATGGTATGTGACCACTAGGAGGGCACAGGAAATGCTACAAGGACATTTGAAAGTGTCGCTAAACAAATGCAACATACCCACTGACACGTGGGAATTGCTTGCCCTAGAATGCACAAACTGGAGAAGAAACAACTGTAAAGGCGTCAACCATTTATGTGTCTCTGAGTAGAGCATGTGGAGGCCAGGTGCAAGCAGCCGAAAGAGTGCCCCCTCATCATCCACTGCCTGCCCCATGTGTGGCAGAACCTGCACTTTCCAGTATTGGATCCTTCAGCTACAGCTACAGCTACAGCTACATGCTATCCTCAGAGTGGAAGCAAGTTATCCTCGACCCCGATTGATTGCCAGAGAAGAGGAGAAGTGACACAATCTTAAAATTTACAGAATGCACAAAACTTGAAAATGTAACAAACAGTGAACAACAACCTGCACTTCAAGGTGACATAGGAAGGTAAACAGACTGGCTCGGCACTTGTCAGATGAAATTCAGTGCAGAAAAATATTTTTTTTTCTATTCATTTATGGGATGTGGGAGTCGCTGGCTGGCCAGCATTTCTTGCCCATCCCTAGTTGCCCTTGACAAGGTGGTGGTGAGCTGCCTCCTTGAACTGCTGCAGTTCTCCTGCTGACGGTTGACCCACAATGTCCTTTGGGAGGGAATTCCAGGATTTTGATCCAGTGACAGTGAAGGAATGGTGATATATTTCCAAGTCAGGATGGTGAGTGGCTTGGAGGGAATTTGGAGGTGGTGGTGTTCCCATATATCTGTTGCCCTCGACTTTCTAGATGAAAGTGGTCGTGGGTTTGGAAGGTGCTGTCTGAGAATCTTTGGTGAATTTCTGCAGTGCATCTTGTAGATACTACACGTTGCTGCTACTGAGCTTCGGTGGCGGAGGGAGTGGATGCTTGTGGATGTAGTGCCAATCAAGTGGGCTACTTTGTCCTAGATGGTATCAAGCTTCTTAAGTGCTGTTGGAGCTGCACTCATCCAGACAAATGGGCAGTATTCCATCACACTCCTGACTTGTGCCTTGTGGATGGTGGACAGGCTTTGGGGAGTCAGGAGATGAGTTACTAGCCACAGTATTCTTAGCCTCTGACCTGCTCTTGTAGTTACTGTGTTAATGTGGTGAGTCCAGTTGAGTTTCTGGTCAATGATAACCCCCAGAATGTTGATAGTGGGGGATTCAGTGATGGTAACACCATTGAATGTCGAGGGGCGGTGGTTAGTTTGTCTCTTATTGGTGATGGTCATAGCTTGCATTTGTGTGGCGCAAATGTCACTTGCCACTTGTCAGCTCAAACCTGGATACTGTTCAGATCTTGTTGCATTTGAACATGGACTGCTTCAATACCTGAGGAGTCACGAATGGTGCTAAACATTGTGCAATCATCGGCGAACATCCCCAATTCTGACCTTATGATGGAGGGGATGACATTGATGAAGCAACTGAAGATGGTTGGGCCTAGGACACTACCCTGAGGAACTCCTGCAGAGATGTCCTGGAGCTGAGATGATTGACCTCCAACAACCACGACCATCTTCCTATGTGTCAGGAATGACCCTAACCACTGGAGATTTTGCCCCCTGATGCTCATTGATTCCAGTTTTGCTAGGCTCCTTGATGCCACACTCGGTCGAATGCAGCTTGATATCAAGGACTGTCACTCGCACCTCACCTCTGGAATTCAGCTCTTTTGTCCATGTTTGAACCAAGGCTGTACTGAGGTCAGGAGCTGAGTGGCCCTGGCGGAACCCAAACTGGGTGTCACTGAGCAGGTTATTCCTGAGCAGGTGCTGCTTGATAGCAATACTGATGACACCTTCCATCACTTTACTGATGATCGAGAGGAGGCTGATGGGACGATAATTGGCTGGGTTGGATTTTTCCTGCTTTTTGTGTACAGAACATACTTGGGCAATTTTCCACATAGTCGGGTAGGTACCAGTGTAACTGTACTGGAACAGCTTGGTTAGGGCAGTAGCAAGTTCTGGAACACAAGTCTTTCAGTACTATTGCCGGAATGTTGTCAGGGCCTGTAGCCTTTGCCGTATCCAGTGTCTCCAACCGTTTCTCAATATGACGTGGAGTGAATTGAATTGGTTGAAGACTGGTATCTGTAATGCTGGGGACCGCTGCAGGAGGCAGAGATGGACCATCCACTCGGCACTTCTGGCTGAAGATTGCTGCGAATGTTTCAACCTTATCTTTTGCACTGACGTGCTGGGCTTTTCCATCACTGAGGATGGGGATATTTGTGGACCCTCCTCCTCCAGTGAGTTGTTTAATTGTCCAGCACCATTAACATCTTTGTATGGAAGGAGGAGAGGCAACTAGTCAGTGCAATTCTTATAGTGTGTAAGAACAGAGACACATAAAGGTGTGTGTGAGTAAACCATTGGAGATGGCAAGACCAGCTAAGAATCTGAGGTTGTTTTCCTTCGAGCTAAGGGGAGATTTGTTTAAAGAGTTTAAATTTGTGAAGGGTTCAGAGAGGATAAACTCTACTCTAGTGTTTTTTCACACTGTTTCTGCTGATTTGCTGAACTTTACCCTCACCTCCACCATTAATGCCCTTGTTCTTAATTAAACAGTCTCTCACATGCTGACCATTTCCCCCAGTATGACCCACATGTCTACTTCGTTAAAGTATAGGGGTTGCAGACTTGAAAGGATATGATGGACAATTGGTTTGGCCATTTATTAGCACACTTGGCTGGATTACATAAAGCTCTATTGAGTAACTATTGCTCCTGCCTGATAAGTGTATGAAAGATGTGGATTTATAAATATTTATATAATTTCTTTTAGAGAGACTAGATTTCAAACTAGTAACATATGGATGTCAGTCCATTTTTGTGATAAGTTTTAAAAATTAATTCGGCCGGCCTTTCTGGAAACACGCTTGTGAAACCAGTTTGTGACACCATCAAATATAAGTGGAAGTTTGTTTCTATTATTGGAGTTTATGACAGGAGAGAGAAAACATTAAGCTATAACAGGACCTAGGATAAGTAGGCTTTTTAAAAATTCAGTTAAAAAGCTTTTGGGTTGAGTTCAGAGGATGACTGACTATGGTTCAAAACAAGTAGAGTCTTCTAGAAAAAGGAGATTGTTCAGAGCAGTTAAAGGAATAAGTTACCTGAATGAAAGAGTATAGTTTGTGAAACTTCCAGGCCAGGAGTGTTTAGCTAGAACTCTGTAAATTATTAAATTATTTAGATTACCTTTAAAATAATGGTTTTAGGGAATAGATGGGCCTTGGTTTTGTCTGTATTTTAAAATCTTTCACAATATGTGACATTTAGATGGTTTGGTTTGTTTCATGCTATTTTTCTTGATTTTCCTGTTTCAAGCACCAGTAATACATTTCTGTTGGTATTAATAAAAATCAAATTGGCAGTGTGTGTACATGGGTTTCTGT